AAGGAGACTCGAAAGGAAACCTTCACAGTACATACGCAGGAACAAGGCGAACCCACAACGTGCCCCAAATTTGTTGAGTTGTTGTGAACATTAAATGTGTGCACTGATGTACATGTCGCGCGCCTGCTGGAGATGCGCTCAAGGCGGTGCGGATGCGCGCTTGGCGAGCGGCATGTCTCTCGATCCGCTGGCTTTGTGTTGCCTCCACGCCCAATGGACCATCTACGGGCGACAGGCCTGCGGATAGACCGTATTGTCTGGAGTAGTGAAGGAGGACGACTCGATCTCGAGATCTAATTGACGATATGAAGTCTGAATTTCTATGCCCGATTGCAAGTATCGCGGCGGCGAATCTGCTCGTATGTAGACGATGCTACACGACCCAATGTCATAGAAGCTGCCGCAAGGCTGGAGTCTGGTGGAAAGGTTGAGCAGAACACAGTCTGGTCAGTTCAGACCATACATAGATACAGCCAGCCATGCATTCTTGCCCCACGTGTGCTGTCTGGGACCTGGCAGGCGCCATTAGGACGAGCGTTGCTTCCGTTAAAAGTTCGTGAAGGGGCGAATTGTGTGTCGTCATCGTGTTGCATGCAAAAGTGAGGCAGAAAGGAGGCAGGCACATACGTTGCTACCATGCTTTGTATCATCGTCACTCTTCCTTGCAGCAACGACCTCCCTCGTCATTGACGACACGGCAGCTGCGGCCTGGTCTGCTTACACGGCAGGAGCTGCTCCTGTTCAGGGTGCAAGACCTTGACGCCATATGGGAACCGGTCAATGTATGTGTGTGTGTGTGTGTGTGTGTGTGTGTGTGTGTGCCCAGTATGCATACGACCTGGTACAGTCCACCATTACGCACGGTCGGGGAAGTGTGCACCGAGGATAGCGCACTGTTCTGCAGCACGCCGTGATGCGATGCGATGCGAGGGCTAGGGTCGGCTCCCATGCAGGCGCTAGCGCTCATGTGGCTAGCAGGCTTTGTGGTGCCAACCTGGCGCAATCAGAGCGCTGGCAGCCAGCAGAGACACCAGAGCGACCTAGTGAGACCCCTGCACTGACTCGGGGCTCGAACATGCGGCTTTGTCTGTTCGCCGCTGTTCTATGCAGGTTGGGCCACATTTATGACTCCCATCGGCGGGTGGTGACTAGTGTGAAGAGGCAGAAGAAGCGACAAGGAGTTGAGAGACTACGCCCTGCAAGACCGCCAGGATGCAAGTCATCGTGGGTTTGCGTGGGTAGCCGGCCATCGGGCGGGTATTGATGAGTGTCGAGCGATGGGACCAGTCCCCATGACCATCGCAGGACAGGGCGCCGCGTCGAACAGAGAAGGATACAGCAGCGTAGAGCAGAGCAAAATCATAGAAATGCAAAAGCATACCGGCAACTCTGCATACGGTGTTGTGTGACTGACACCATGATATGCCTCTCTGTCCCTCCCTGGACGGTGTGAGTGACGAGTGATGTGAGGTGAGAGCCCACTGAAACCCGACGAGGTAGACGCCAATCGCAGGATCGTTGGCAGCAGCCTATGGCGTGGCCACTTGACCCCCACCACAGAGCCAACACGCCGCCCTTTCATCGTCACTATTCGCTTCGGACATGTTTCGACTCGAATTGTGCCATGACCCGGCAGGTCAAGCCGTTGTGTGTGATCAAGGATGCGTTGTGGTGCCGCGTTGAACCCTTGAGCTTGTCAGGCCACCTGCCCACTCACTGGATGGCTGATCGGTCGGTCGCTCGGTCGGGCTCGGTCAGCTTGCTTCCTTCTGCGGAAGCGGCACCACTGGTCCTGTCAATTGACAAGGACCACGACGCGACAACAAACATGCAAATGGACGGTTGAAAGTCAGGAGAACCCTCTCGGCAGCGAACCTCCCGCCGTCTGTGTCGCAAGGTTCGGGTCAAATTAGCCAGCCGCCATCTCGGCGCACTACTTCAGGAGAAGAGACTCCTACCTAACCAAGCCAAGTAAGGAGGGAGGGAGGGAGAGCGAGAGAGCCTTGGAGCCCCCAAGCCCTGGAGATGGAGCGATGGAGCCTCGGGGCCCTGGATGTGCCCAGTTAGGGTAGGCCTCTGTTGATGGTGCCGTGTTGGAGCCGCCTGGTCATCTGGTCATGAGCGACTTTGTTGTGCTGAAAATGGAACGCTTGGCTGGACCTCACTTTCCCGACGCGTGCTTAGCTGCGTTCGGTACCTATGTACTTGGTTAGCTGTCAGCCAGCAGCAGGAAAGACGCCAGAACGAGAGACGAGCGACTACTCGATAAATTGAGGCAAGCACACACAGTGTGTCGCACCTAGCTGCCACGCCCTTTCACCTGGGGGATTTCCCCCTTCCTTGAATAACCGCTGACAGATCGAATACTCCGGTGCTTAAATCGCGACCGGCATTATTGGCAAGGGCGATCGGTTGGGCAGTGGGGAATGGACTGGGTCGCGACTGGCTGCGCTCGTACCATGTACACCTTCCAGGCTCGTAGTACATGGTACAGCACGCTCCTGGTCGGCCTCTATGGGCAAGTACGTGTACATCAGTGGGAGGGTTCAAGGCCTGATCGTGAAGAGCCTCGCTATAATCACTATTATGCTCGGTCGAATTGGAATTCACTTTCATGGGCTCGCACTGGACCGCGTTCCTCTCTTATTCGATCGTCATGCTTCCTTCGGCAGACCACACCCAACAGCATCGCCATCAGCGCCGGCTGTGCCCACCATCAGGCTAGCTCGAAACGTGCAGCCGGGGTCGCCCCTACTCTCATTCCCCGTGGCAATCGCGGGATGGACTCGCACGGTGCAGCCTGCGGTATCGCCCATAGCAAGGCAAGGATGTGGTCCGGGGCCGGGAAGGGCCCAGGGGATGGGACGTGTGTGCTTGACACATACACACGGAGTACCTGCCTCTGGTACGGCCACTGCGCCCGGGACATGGTCACACTCCTCTCTCCTGCCTTCCGACCTTGCCCTCGTACCTAGGTACCCTCCTTCCTTCCCGGACTGGGCCAATTGCTGTCCTTCCTCGGACGCTGCCAGCTGATTGACCTGACCTTCCCTTCTCCTTCCCTTCCTCTCTTGTCTCCAAGCAG